GATCTGGTGAAGCCCTCGAAAAGCAGTGAAGGCGACGGGTACTCGACAGGAGGCCCGTCGCGCGGCGCGAAGGCAGAGACGCAGACGGGTCAGCGGACGAGTCGCAGCGTGTGCTGTGTGATGTGGGACGTACTATAGTACTTTTTTAACTTGACGCAAATCACTACAGTACGCGCTGCGACTCGTCCGCTGACCCGTCTGCGTCTCTGCCTTCTCGCCGCGCGACGGGCCTGCTGTCTAGTGCCCGAAGGTGACGACTAAGAGGTGGCAAGCACTGGAGAGGCCACTGGGGAAACAGGGTTTGGCCGTCCGTTAAGAGGGGTGGCCAAAAATCCCTTCCAGCAGTGACGCCAACTCCAACTTGCCTCCGCCTATCATGGTTAGCCATCATGCTGTTCCCACTCCATCCATTGAGAAGCAATTCCTTGCGATTAGCAGCTGAACTGGAACTCTCAGGGCGAGGGTACGGTTGTCATTAATGGCTGGCGTGAAAAACAGCAAAAACAAGCAGAACCATCGAAATAGGAAACGTTTCTAATTTTTCTTAGTTTTGCATGAAATTCCCCAGGAAGCTTTCCCACGCCCTGAGTGGTTTTTCCCTCTCTTCCATTCTAGAGATCACAGCTTTGACGTCCTTGTTAGAAACTCTCCAATGGATGGTGACCATTTTTGAAGGTCTCGTAAAACTGTATGAAAGGAAACATCGAAATTGGAAAACAACTCACTTTCCCAGTAATTTGCCATGCTCAGTTGGGCTTACATAGGACTCATACACAGCGACATTGTCGTATGAGCATTCGTCGTTCTGCACCACTTCAATGTCGAAGTTGTCGAATGTAAGTCGTACTTGCTTCGACTATAAAAGTTAGAGAATAAAAACGGCACAGTTCTCATGAAATTCACATTTATTCACGGATGCGCCGTGCACTCGTCATGAAACAAACTTATGAAGTAGCAAAACTGTTTGTTGGAGTCAACTACGGTGTCGAAACAGAGATGCTGGATAGCATCAGCAAAAGAAAATGGTGGAGTGCTCCATCAGCATTCATTCGGCAGCCCATACGGTCTGCCAGGATGTGCGCACGTGAGATGATGGCAGTCCATGTGGGCTGCCAGCTAATAAAGTACTGCGTAAGGTTTCGATTTCAGCTTTGATCTCCTGACAAAATGCTCGTGATCGCTTCTTTTTGGTAATCTAGAGTTTGAAAACCTAAACCAATGGGTTGCGTCAGCATAAAACGGTTATCTGCCGATAAGTTTGATTGAAAAAATATCTACATGTGTTCCTTATTCCTTACCCAGGTACTTGGATCTGATAGACGCAATGCATGTGCGGCAGATATTTGTCAGGATAATTTGGAGAGCTGATAGTACCGCTCGATTGAGAGAAGACGCCGCCGCATCCTAAATAAAGCCATATATGAACAGAAACTTCCCTGAAATCAATGCTTATACAATTGATAGACATTTTCTTTCTAAACCTAC